TTTATTACGTATACAGTGTTCTGTCTGCACGTATCCCTGTAGGTCAGAAGAGGGCACCAGATCTCATTACAGATGGTTGTGAGCCACCATGTGGGTACTGGGATTGAACTCAGGACCTTTGGAAGAACAGCCAATGTTCTTAACCTCTAAGCCATTTCTCCAGCCCCGAAGAATATTTTTTAAAACAATTTATTTATCTTTATTTTTTTATGTGCATTGGTGTATGCATGTATGTGTCGCTGTTTTACCCTGCCTGCCTAAGGCACACGATTGGTCTAATAAAAAGCTGAACAGCCAAAAGCAAGGGAGGAGATGTAGGCGGGACTTCTGGGTAGGGAGAGTAAGGAAGAGGAGGAATTTAGGCTCAGGGACTAAAGAAAAATAGACGCCAGGGGCCAGACAGACAGACATGGAGGAAGAGGGAAAGGAGGACATACAGAATGAAAGGTAAAAAGCCCCGAGGCAAATCATAGGTGAATAGAAACAGGTCAAATTAGGTTAAAAGAGCTAGTGGGACAAGCCTACGCTAAGGCCGAGCATTCATAATTAATGATAAATCTCCGTGTCTTTATTAGCAGCCCCCCCCAAAAAAAATTCAGACTACCATGACCAAAAGCAAATTGTGGAGGAAAGGGTTTATCTACACTTCCACATCACTGTTCATCATCAAAGGAAGTCAGGACAGGAACTTTATGAACAATAGGAACCTGGAGGCAGGAGCTGATGCAGAGGCCAGGGAGAGGTGGCTTGCTCCCCATGGCTTGTTCACCAACCCAAGGAAGGCCCCACCCACAATGGGCTGGGCCCTCTCCCCATCAATCACTAAGAAAATGCCCTGCAGCCTGCAGCCTGATCTTATGGAGGCATTTTCTCAATTGAGGTTCTATTGTTTGTTTTTTATTCTTTTTTGGGGGGCCTGTCACCCAGCTCCCAAATAAATAACACACAGAGGCTTATTATTACTTACCAATGTCTTGCCTTAGCTTGGCTTAGTTTCTAGCCAGCTTTCTTTATCTTAAATTAACCTGTCTATCTTTTGCCTCTGGGCTTTTTCCATTCTCTAACTTCTGTAAATCTTACTCTTACTCCGTGGCTTGCTGTGTAGCTGGGTGGCTGGTCCCTGAAGTCCTCCTCCATCTCTGGCCACTGCTTCTCCTCCCAGATTTCTCCCATATTCTCTGCCTGCCAGCCCCACCTATCCTTTCTCTGGCCTCGCTATTGGCCATTCAGTTCTTTATTAGACCATCAGGTGTTTTACACAGGCACAGTAACACAGCTTCACAGCTTAAACAAATGCAATATAAACAAAATTTCTTCTCCTGTGACCCTAGCTTATATTAATTTGACATAAAACTAGCCAGCACACATACAGATCTTTATTTTTCACCCTATGCAAAGCCAACCCTAGAACAGATCAAAGACCTGAATATATGACCTGAAGCAGCAAGGGCTGGGAGAGCCAGGGGAGAGTTCTGCGGCACAGGCAGAGGCGAGGACTTCTGGAAAGAACTCAATGGCTCCGGAGAGAACCCGGTGAACTAACAAATAGCATCAGCTTCCTCACAGCAAAGAAACCAGTCAGAGCAAAGGCACCTTACTGAACAGCATGGTCTTTGCTATCAATATATCTCACGGAAGATGAACATCTGGAATCTACAAAAGGAACTCAATAAAAGCACAAAAGATAAACCACCAGCGAACAAATGAGAATAGGAAAGGAACAGGCAGTTCACAAAAGAAGACAGACAGATGGCAGTAAATAAATGAAAATGTTCAGCACCATCAGCCCTCAGGGAAATGCAAATCCAAAGAACGCTGAGATTCATCCCGGTCTGAACAGCTACCATCAAGGGAGCACGGGGAGAACACGTGCAGAGTGGGAGTCTGCAGCAGAGGATGTAACGCAAGAAAAATCATTCTGGCCAGGTAGTCAGGTGGTGCACACCTTTAACCCCAGCACTCAAGAGGTAGAGGCAGATGGATCTCTGCAATCCAGGCCAGCCTGGTCTACAGAGTGAGTTCCAGGACAGCCAGGGCTACACAGAGAAACCCTGTCTCAAAAAACAAACAGAAGAAGAAGCAGAAGGGGAGGAGGAGGAAAAAGAGAGAGAAGGGAGAAATGAAGGAGGGGGAAGAGGAGGAGGAAGAAAGAAGGAGAAACAAAGAAGTTAGTAAGTTAGTTGGTTAGTTAGTTGATTGGTTGGTTAGTTCTGGTCTATGAAGTGCACTTGGAGCTGGGCAGAGAGTCACAGATAGGCAGACATGGGTCAGGCTCTTTTTTTTCACAGTAAACCAGTGTGGCCATAGGACATCAATATGGAGGATCCTCAAAAAACAGACAGACTCACCTACAGCCATTTTACTCCTATGTGAACATGTGCACATGTACATGCACACACACTCACACAAAGGAAGCTCAAGCAGCACACACAGGGTCCTCTGCATCTCCGTTTACCACAGCCCTGCTCGCAATAACCAAAATGCAGAATCAACCTAGACGCCCCTGCACAGATGAATGGATGAAGAAAACGTGTTCTACACAAACAACAGCGTGCCATTCAGCTGTCAGGAAGAGTGAAATGACATCATTTTCAGGAAGATGAATAGGACTCGGAGTCACCGTGGTGACTGTATGAGGTAAGGCAGAGCCAGGAAGACAAACACTGCCTGTTTTCTCTCTCAGGTGGAATCTAGATGTGAACATATACAATATGCAGTATAGTATGTAACCTAGATTTAAACGTATACTACATACAGGGCATGGGAGTAGACGGGGACTGTAAGGAAGGAAAGAGCCTAAGGAAAGAGAGCTTGGGACAAAGGGAAGTGAGAGGCAGGGAAGGCATGATACCACATGTTTTCTCTCATACACAGAATCCAGATGTGAATGTAAATGCTGCGAAGGCACAAGGGGACCACGTGAGGACGAGGAAGAGGATAAGCAGGAGGGACAACAGAAGCAGGAGAGGGTAGCGAGGGGCAAATATAAACAAAACACACTGGGATATGTACAGAAAAATGTCACAGTGAAGCCCATCATAATCTACTACAGCTTAAAATACAACTTTTTAAAAAAGAACACAGGGGCTGAGAAGACGGCTCAGCTGGCAAGTGCTTCCCCTGCAAGCCTGAGGACTTCAAATCCTCAGCGCACACAGAACCCAGAGTGAATGTCCGCTTTGCAGCGCAGAGACAGGAGGAGCCAGAGAGCTTCCTGGCAGGCTAGTCCAGTCTCAACAGCCAGCTCCTGGTTAGGGAGAGGCCTTGTCTCAAGGCAAAATGACAGACAGTGACAGAAGACACCTGGCACCCTGCTCCGCCTGCACACACAGGCACAGGCACCAGTGCACTCACATGCACGCCACACATGTGTGCATGCGAGCACACACACACACACACACACAGCCATGTCAAATCCGTATCAATGGACTGGAGAGATGGCTCAGCTGTTAAGAGTAACTGCTCTTGCAGAGGACCTGAGTTGTTTCCCAACACCCACATTAGGTGGCTCACAACTACCTGTAACTCCAGCTCCAAGGAATCCAACACCATTTTCTGGCTTCCAAAAACACTCAACATATACATGTGCACATGCACATAAGTAAGTATAAATAAACAAATAAACCTGACTTTTTTAATTAGGACTTTAAATAGGTTACTACAAGCCTCTGAGTTCGGAACTCTTTAACTTGGCTCTGCAGGCCCAACCAACCCTTCCCGGGGATTGGGAGCTCGGCCGGTGCTCCTCCTCACACCATTTGAGACTGATCTGATCTGACTGGAATTCCCTTTCTCCTGTCATCGGAAAGAGCATTTTCCGACGCAACCAGCTTCAACCAGCAAGGAAATGTACATCGACCAGGCTCGGGTTGTGGCCAGCATAACCAACGTGGGCCATGGACATCAGGCTGGGAGCTCATGATCACCACCACCAGAGTACCCCGTGGACATCAACCAAGCTGAAGGCTCACGACCATCACAACCAGCTTGGATCGCCGGCATCAGCCAAGCGGAAGCTGCGATCCCCGGCCATGAAGACGCACACTGGGTTGATAGGACCGAACGTCCCATCTCAGGAGCAGGGAAGCACGAGCGACCCTGCTCCCCCATCCCTGTCCTGGAGGAAGTGGCCAAGCGTGTGACGAGGATGAGGTGGATCAAGGATAGGATGGAGCCTCAGCTACCCACCCACCTGTGCGATGGTGGGGACCCGCGTCCCACGCCCTCTGCCTCGCCACGGCGCGGCAGCAGCCTGGACAGGGAGAACAGAGGCACCCAGCGACCTAACCAGCTTTCCCTGGACGCGTGGATACGGCCTCTGCGTCACCATGGCAACCTGCGAGACGCGGGAAAAAGAGCGGGGCCTCGATTGGCTGATCGCTAACTACGCAGAACCCGGAAGTGAGCGGCTTTACGTGCCCATCCCGCTACACTGAGGACCTCACGTCGCTCATGGAATGATCTCGCTAGTCTGAGAGGAGATTGGCAGCTGGAAAAAGACGAGACTCGTGAGCAGTTCCCAGGTCTGAGCGCCGAGCATCCCTCGGTGTTTGGATGCTGCCAATCCCATCTCCATGACAACACGCAGAGGACCGGAAGAGACCCGGATACTGAGTGGCTCGGAGCTTCCGGTCCTATGGGCGGGGCCGGAAGTGAGAATCCTCGGGCACACCTTCCCCCAACCCTAAGGCCGGTGCATCCTTTCTAGAAAGATCCCAGGGCTAAGCTGGAAGGAAATGTGAGAGCCACAGAGCACCACGGCGGGCCCCGCTCGGCATTTGCACGCCCTCCCGTCTCCATGGCATCACGCAGGACGCCGGCAGGGACGCAGAGCGCTGATTGGCTGAGCTTACTCACTGGCCGGAGATTGGCATACGTATAGCTGGTCCCCTCCACGCATCTTGTGGTATCCCCAGGAGCGCGGTTCCCTCAGCTTCCTCAGGAAACTTCTCGGCCTGGAGCGCACTGGTCGCGGGAGGCTCTGCGGACCCAGGATACGACGGATCGCCCTCCCAAGTCAGGGCGCGCAGTGGTGACTCAGATCCCACCCGAGTCCGCAGATCTGGGTGGGACTTTCCTTTCTGCCTGATCCCAGTGCATCACGTGCTTATTTTGCTGCGTTTCCTCCTTAAACAGGATTTCACTGTGTAGCCCAGGCTGGCCTCCAACTGAAGTCCTCCTTCAACCTCCCCAGAGCCAGTAATAACCTGGAGGCGCCACCACACCTCAAACTTCCGTTCCCACGTGAGAGCAACTTACTTCTATGGAAGTAACAAAGCCCATTCCAGTTGATCCAGAATTCTACTTCCAGGATGGGGGTGGAGGAGAGATGGGATCGATGTCTACACCTTCCTCCCAAATTTCTAAGGATAAACCAAACTATAATTCCAGTTCAGCCCATTCTTGGGGACGAATGAGTTTGTTGAGCTTATTTATAGAGCCCAGATGAGGGGTTACAGACAAAGCAGTCTCACTGAAAGCCTTTGCCCAGCGTGGAAGACGGCTTCCCAGTGCCCCAGAGGTGGAGCGCCTCTTCCTCATCTTCGACCCCTGTATCTCTAGGTCCTCTCCAATACACCCTGCCCCACTTGTAATTAGGGCAAAAATGCATGTAAGTGGGTGGGAGGAGGGTCTGGAAGTTCCGGTGAAGGTGCAGTGACCCGCGTGTCCCCTCCTATGAAGGAATATCAGTAGTCAGCTAGACCTGCCGTGATAATGGTTGGCAAGCAGGCATACCTGGGCTCGCGAAGGTGGCAGTTGTCTGACTTGCAAGATGGTTGTGTATGTGAGAGGGTGCATGGAGGCCAGAGGTCAGCCTTAGGTGTTACTCCTCAGGAACTGTCCACCGCGGTTCTGTATCTGAGACAGAGTCTCTCACTGGCACCTGGGGCTGGCTGGCCCTCAAGCCTTAGGGATTCACCTGAAAGGCTAAAAAGAAAGTCGAAGTGGGTATCTCGGGGCCCTGCCAACGTGTGCCACTAAGCAGACGCGCCGTGTGCAGCAGAGGTCGTGAAAGAGGTTTACAGGGGTGAGGGAGAGTGAAAGAGCAAAGGCCACGTCGGAGTGGGGACATGAGAGGCAGACAGACAGACAGACAGACAGACAAGAGAAGCAAGAGAGGTAAGAGAGGAGCTGTGCCCGGTGGGCACTTTTAAGGGGTGCACACGTCCCATAACTGACGACGGGAAGGCACCTGGCAACAGGTTATGATGTGACTGCCGACTACAGACGCAGGCTGCTGTAGCAGCGAGAATAAACCTTCCCACCCCCACAGCCCTAGAAGTACAAGCACGCACCATCACACTTAGCTCTGTGCGTGTGTGTGTGTGTGTGTGTGTGTGTGTGTGTGTGTGTGTGTGTGTGGCAAGCGCTTTACCAAATGAGCTATTTCAGCAGTCCCAAAAGGAACATTTCTTACACATCAGACTTGACAAGCTTTCCTGTTTCTGTTTTTGTTTTTGCAGCTAAGGATAAATATCTTTGTGATAGGTGACATCCCAGTTTTACTACATTTCTGTGTGGAGGAGTAGAATGCCAAGGGTCCCCACAGACTCGTGTTGAAGGCTCTCTGCAGCCGGTGTCGCTGTCTTGAGAAGTAGTGAAAATGTTGAGTGGGGCCTGGCTGGAGGAAGTGGGTCTTTGGAGGCATGCCTTTGAGATGTCCTGTGCTGTGTGCCGTCCTCTCAGACTCCCTCTCTGAGCTTTCTGGACACCATGAGGTGAACAGCCCTGTACAGCCACTCCTGCCATGTTCTACCTGGCTGGGAGCCAGGAGCAAACTGCATTATGATGAACTCCCTTTAAATTATTTCTCTCGTGTATCTGTCCACAGTGCTAATTAAAACTAACACTTTGTTTTTAAAATTCTTTTCAAGCTTAGGCATTTCCCCTTAAAGAGATTTTGTTTGTTTGTTTGTTCCCACTTCTACATTAAATTACTTAATCCACCTGGAATTTAGTTTGGCAAACACAGAAAATTAGAATATAACTTCATTACTCCTAAGAATAATTAGGCAATTATGCTAGCAGTAAGACTGTCCCTCTCTTTGGGAATTTTTGATATCTCCCTCATTATAGCTCTCAATTTTAATGTATGCATTGACGTCTATTTCCAGGCTATTACTTTTTCTCCATTGAGCTATTTTTGTATTGTAGGAGAAAGTTCTTAATTTCAGCTTTAAATATTTATAATAAAAAAGGAAGAAAAATTATCTGCAATGGTGCCCTTATACTTGGGAGGCTAAGAGTGAAATACCAATTGAGCCCACAAAGTTAAGGAGCCAGCCTAAGCAACATAGGACCTTATCTCAAATGAGAAAGGGGGGCCTGGGATGACCAGACATGAAGGGGAAGGAAATGGCTGAGAGTCTAAGCTGAGTCATTGCAGTGCTAAGCTGTGCTAACAGCCAGGCTGAGGGCAGAGAAGAGCCTGGTGTGAAACAGCAGTGACCAGCAACCTTTGCCTCTGAGAGCATCACGTTTTGGGGAGAGACAGAGTCTGGTATGGAGACTATGGGGGTCATTTTATTCAAACCACCATATCATGTAGATGTTGAGTGAATGTCCCAGCCTGCCTGTAATCGCAGTCTTGAAATGTAGATGGGATTCCCAGAGCAAGCTGGCTACCATGACTAACCATATCCAAGAGTTACAGGTTTGACTGAGAGACCTTACCTCAATAAATAAGGTGGAAGAGCTATAGAAAATGGTTCCCCACATCAGCCTTGGGGTTCCATAGACATGTGCACACACATGCATGCTCACCTGCACATACCTGAGTGCCCACACACAAAGGAAATGTGCATAAATACCCCACTTGAAAATGGAAAGAAAACCCACATATATGAAAAAAAGAAACAAATATTAAAATCTTCCAGCCTTTCTGAAGACCACACTGAAGCTATCTACAGCCCCATCTTTGTGCAACAGTGTGTCAGCTCTCACTTACCTATCCCACCATGACAGCACCTGCTATCAGCCCTTACCCATCCCTGCCTTTCCCTCAATCCTCCAGCCTCTGTCAATGTAGTCTCCTGTTGACTTTTGTCAAGATAAACTTCCACATACAGGTAAAGTCATGCAGCCTTGGAACACAAGGATACTGGCCAACTTGTCAATACACAAGATGTCCACTGGACCTGGGGCCACTGAAGTGCTGCCAGGGAAGTGCTCCTATGGTTTGATGCATCTGCTCTTCCATGACTCCTTTGGAGGAGCAGTTCTTGTCAGAGGCTGTGGTAGACACCACTAGCTGTGAGACATGAGCTGTCAATCATCAAGTGCATTGTATCATCCACTAGCCATAAAGATGTGTGTGCACGGTGCTGCCATGCCATCTCTCCTAGCGGTCTTGAAGGCACCCATAAGTGGCCTAGACAGGCTGCGCACCTTTGGTATGCCTGCTCTCTGTGCATGGCCACCCTTTTCTGCCCTGCAGCTTTCCTCCATGGGGCTCATTCTCTTTCATCAGTTGGCTGGCGAACATTCACGGATAAATTACTATTTTCCCTGCATGATGATTTGTTGAAGGCAATCAGGGGTGCCAGATTCTGAGAACAGGTGAAACAGAGAGACGGAGTTGAAGACTAAAGCAAAGAAAAACCTCTCCAGAGGGGGAATTCAGGAAAGAAGGAAGGGAAAAAAAGGAAGGAAGGAAAAGAAACCTCTTAGGACCATTACTTTTTCTTTTAAAAAAATATTTTGTATGTATATATGTGCGTGCCTGCTTGTCTGTTAGGTACCCCTGTGTGTGCAGTCTCTGCGGAGCCATCAGAGGGCATCAGATCCCCTTGAGCTGGAGTTACCAGACAATTATGAGCCACCATGTGAGTGCTGGCACCAAAACTCAGGTCTTCTGCAAGAATGTTGGGAGCACCAAGGTCCTTGAAACCTAGGAGACCCCCACACAAGGGCAGCAAGTGCTCTTACTGACTGTGAGGCATCTCCTCCCAGTCCCCAGAGGGACAATTTTTTTTTTTTTTCCAAGACAAGGTTTCTCTGTGTAACAGTCCTGGCTGTCCTGGAACTCACTTTGTAGACTAGGCTGACCTCGAACTCGCAGAGATCCACCTGCTTCTGCCTCCCAAGTGCTGGGATTAAAGGCGTGCGCCACCACTGCCTGGCTCAGAGGGACATTTTTGAAGAGCAAATCCACCCTGCTGGATGGAGAAAAGCCTGAAGTAAATGCAACAAAATTATCATGCAGAGTCAATGGAGTCAAGAAGGGGCAGCCACCACCCACACCTCACAGAGCCTTGTTCCCAGCCTTCTCCACCCTGGAGACCCCCAGGCTGTCGTTGGCTGCACCTTGGCCATCTGCTGCACAGACTCCTTCTCCTACACCTACACTCTCTCTCAAATCCCAAATGTTTTCATTCTTGCTCATCATACCCTTCTTTCATTTTCCCACTCACAATTAACTATCTTGTTCCTGTTTCTTTCATTAAGTTTATCTATTTAAAAAATGGAGAGACAGCTCAGTGGTTAAGAGCACTGACTCCTCTTCCAAATGGGGAGAGAAGCCATGGTGGGTGTGGTCTAGTCTGTGAGGCAGAGGTTCCCCTGCTCTAAGGCCATAGGCTTGCTGTGCTTGTTGAGACGGGTCACTGTGTGTTGTATTAATGCCCATTCTAGGCTGGGCTTGAACTCACTGTACAGTACAGATGGCCTCTAACTCATGGAAGTCTTCCTCTGTGAGCCTCTCAGCTGCTTGTATTACAGACAGCACCACTACACCCGGCATTTCTATTTGG